GCTAAATGAAATGATAGCTAAGAGAAGAAATAGGTAGCTAAAAACAACACAAGGTTAGCTAAAAGCTATAGTAGCAAAAGGTTAGTTAAAAGCTACAGTGGCTAAACTCTGTAGTACAAATACAAGCCAAATTTTAAAAAAGGTAACTAAAAGCCAAAATAGCAAAAAGCAAGCTAAAAGAAGAAAAGGGCTAAAAAAGTTAAATATAGCAAAAGGCCAGGAAAAATCTAAATGTAAAAATAGAAGAGCTAAAACTTTAAGTAGCAAAAGGCTAAGTGAAAGCTAAATGTAGAAAAAGACTAGGTAAAAGACATAACAGCAAAAAGCAAGCTAAAAACAGCAACACGTTAGCTACAAGCTAAATGTACCAAAAGGCTAGCCAAAACCTATGGTAACAAAAGTCTAAGTACAAGCTAAACTAAAAAAAGAAGATAAAAGGCAAGCTAAAACCTAGGCACAGCAAAAGGCTGGTAAAAGCTAAATATAAAAAAATGACTAGCTAAAACGTTAAGTAGCAAAAGTCTAAGTGAATGATAAATGTAGAAAAACGAGGTAAAAGACAAAATAGCAAAGGCCAAGCTAAAATGGCAGCACATTAACTACAAGCTAAATGTAGGGAAATGCTAAAACCAAAAGAAACAAACGGCTAGATAAAGTTAAACGCAGAAAAATGCTAGCTAAAACCAAAAGAAGCAGATGGCTAAGAAATAGTCAAATGTAGCCAAAGGCTAGCTAAAGGCTACAGTAGCAAAGGGTTAGTTAAAAGCTAAAGCAGCAAATTTCTAAATGCAGCAAAGGGCAAGCTAAAACCTAAAATAGTAAAAGGTTAGCTAAACTAATGCTACTACTAGCTACTACTAATGAACTAAAAGCTAAATGAAATGATAGCTAAGAGAAGAAATAGGTAGCTAAAAACAACACAAGTTAGCTAAAAGCTATAGTAGCAAAAGTTTAGTTAAAATCTACAGTGGCTAAACTCCAAAGATCAGGCTAGTACAAATATAAGCCAAATTTTAAAAAAGGTAACTAAAAGCTAAAATAGCAAAAGGCAAGCTAAAAAAAGGGCTAACAAGCTAAATGTAACAAAATTCTTTCTAAAACCAAAAGAAGCAAACGGCTAACTAAAAGATAAATGTAGCAACAGGCTAGCTAAAGCAGTAGCAAAAGGCTAGCTGAATGCTAAAGCTTACTAAAACTTCAGTAGCTTAGTTTTCTCCTGTAAGAACCATGCAGGTTCAGGGTTCCAGGAACCATCTCCTCTCACGTCTGCTTCAGTACCTCAGTGTAGAGCAGGAACCGGACCAGGCCCTCACTCAGCTTCTCGACGTCCTTGCGGGTCGCCCTCTGGGTTGACGATTCCCCCGCTGAGTTCTGTCCCAGCTGGGCCTGCAGCAGGCGCTCCCACTCCACCCTGAGGCTCAGGGCCGTGGACAGGACCCTCAGAGCCTCCTCTGGGCTCTTCAGCTCCAGCTCCAACCAGCCGTCCACCACCAGGCGCGTGCAGTCCGCATTGGTGTCCAAGCAGCCGGCGACCAGCAGCAGAACCTGGAGACCAGAACCGAGAACATCTGGGACTCTCACCTCCAACATCTGCTCCTCCAGACCTTCATCCCTCTCCTCATCCTCACTTTCATTTTTAACCCCCCCACCCACCTCCCAATTCGACCCTTCATGTCCTCGTTACACACGTAAACCCAGAACTACAACCCGGGTCAGATCAGAACACCTGGTACGGACCTGCAGGGCCGGAACCCGGACGCAGTTGGACAAATACGGCTTGTTGGTCTCCAGCAGAGTGACGAAGGCTAAGAGCTGGTGTTTGCTGCTGCCCCTCCCATCAGGTCCTGCAGCGAGGAAACAGAAAACAATAAATCTGTGCAGAGTTGTAAAGTAACTAAGTACAAATACTTTGTTACTGTACTTCAGTAGAATTTTTGGTTATCTGTAGTTTACTTGAGTAATTATTTTTCAGCCTACTTTTTACTTCTACTACCGTACTTACATTTTTAAGAAAGTCAAGAAGTAGAAAGTCATTACTTTTATTTAATTTTTGCTTGTTTTCATTGCAGCTTGTTATTGTACAAAATAAATACTATCCATATAAACTGAGCCTCCTAGATAGAGTGAATTTAACTGTGGTTGAATGAGAAGTATAAATATATAAAACTCTGACACTGTATTAGTTTGTATTTGTATTTCATGAATTATATTATTACATTTGACCGCAGCCCTCAGATAGATTTTCACTTTGTAGAAAAGCTTTGTGCAGCCTTGATATATGGATATAAACTGAAACAGCTGGACTAGTGCATCCTAAATTTAACATAAATTAATTATTTTAATATAATATAGTCATTTCTGCAGTTTTTGGGGAGGTCACCTCCTAATAAATGTCCTTACAGAAAATCTAACTGCTCATTTTAAATCAATACTTTGACTTTTAATACTTAAATACAAAAATATCAGATACTTTAAGACTTTAACTTTTACCAAAGTAATTTTTGGTCAAATACTTGTACTTTTAATCAAGTACTTTATACAACACTGAATCTGTGTAATCATTTGAACAAGGTTCAGCCTCTAAACGAGGTTCACCTGCGTCCCTGCCGTCCTCCTCAGGCAGGTGTAACACCTCAGGATCACTGGCGAACACGCTGGTGGGGTGGATCACCACGCCCTGCTTATTCCTGGTGTGAAACACCTAAAAACAAATAAAAATAAACTAATCGTGTTAATGCTGAATCAATATTTAATATGTTGTTTCACAGTTTTTTTTCCTGTAAGTTTTTACAGACAAGCTACTCCTGGAGAAGCTTGTTTTGACAACAGATTTTTTTTATAAAATTTACATAATTTTAAAACATTTAACTTGGTTTACAAACATTTTAACCATAAATATATATTTAGATCTATATTTCCTTCAAAAACATTTAGTTCAAAATTAGCTTTAGCATATTTTCTCTGTTTTTGTCTTCTGGCTTTTAGTTTGTAAGTTGCTGCTCTGCTTCTTTAGCTTCTAGCTATTGTTCTGCTACTTTTAGCCTCTAGCTAGTGTTCTGCAACACTGAGCTGGCTTTTTGCCATATTAGCTTCTAGCTAAACTTTTATTACTTTAGCTTTTAGCTACTCTTTACCTGACCCATGTCATATTATTCTCTCTAGGTACCATTTTGCTACTTTTGTTTAGCTTTCTGTGACTTTTAGCTTTGAACTAACTTTTTACTCTTTTTAGCTTCTAGCTACCATTAGACTACATTTAGCCTCCAATTACTGTTTGACTACTCTCAATAAAACTACCATTTGCCCACTTTTGGCTTCTAGCTACAGTCTGGCTACTTTTAAAGTGCCTGTGACATGCATATCGTTCAAATACAAAAAGTCACAGAAAACATCTTTATATTTAGAAAACTTATCATAAAACACACATTTTGTTGCATAACTGACAAATTTTCTTTTGAATTTGGCTCAGCTAAAATGAAACAGGATGTGACATCAAAGGGGAACTTCCTGGTCTTTGTTTATTGAAGCAGTTTTATTTAAACTCTTCTTCATCTCTGATAGTGACTCAAAATAATCTAAAGAAACATCAGATTCTTCTCTACAGTCTGGGTTGTCGGCCATTGTAACAACGCTCTGTTTTCATGCAGACATTCCCCTTTGACATCACTTCCTGTTACTTCACACGTTAATATCTCAACAACTGTTCATCTCAGCACTGAGATGC